ATCAACGTAAGTGCTATGCCTTGATAGCCCGGAATCGTTCCATATCACCGTTCTGGCACGTTAGCCATCGGTATCAGTGGAATTCTTGCGAATGTGTTTAAGACCAGTGCGTGCGGCGCTAAGGCGAGAGCCACACTTTGAAAAGGAACCGTATCAATCTGTTAAACCCTTGTAAGGTTGTTGAACGGATGTGCGCAGCGCTAATGCGATAACCGCATTTTGGAAACCGACCCGCCCGCAATCCGTGAAATTTTTGTTCATGTTCAAACAAGTTCGCGCGGCGCTAAATCGATTTGAAACAGGTCCGCCTTCAATCCATGAAATTCGCCGCAAGGTTGTATGACGATTGTGCGCGGCGCTCAGGCGAGGGCTACATGTTGGAAACGGTCCGCCCTCCATTTGCGAAGATGCTGCCAATTTCTCAGCTTCAGGATCTTAAATGGTGAGGCAGTCTCAGGCGAAACGCCCAGCCCGCCCTTCTGACTCGCCTCGGGGTGCGACAGGGAGGCCTTATTCATAAGGACTAGGAATGGAGAAGAAGGAGGAGGAGGAGAAAACGGAGGATGAAGAGGAGAAGAGGGAAACCATGAAAACGAGGAGGAACAAATTTCTTGGGGGCCTCTTGGGGCCTCCTGGGGGCCTCCTGGGAGCCTCCTCGGGGGCCTTAGGCCTCCTCGGGCCTCTTGGGGCCCTCTTGGGGCTGTCTCAGAGAGGCGATTTGCCCGTCTGACGCCTTCGGAGGCCGTCTTATGGGGTCTCTCTGGGCCGGCTTGGGTGCCCTCCTGGAGCGCTTTGGGTCTGCCATGGGGGCCTCTCGGGAGGTGCTTGGGCGATCTTGGGGTCCTCTTGGGCCGGCTCGGGGCCCTCTTCGGGGCCTCGTCCGCTGAGTCGGAGCTATTTGGGAGGCCCCTTGGGCCGTCTCAGGTCGTCGGAAGCCCAAACAGGCGAGAACCTCACAATTCGTCGAACACGTTGCGGAAATCAATCGTTTTTGCTTCCTCGGGCTCTCTTGAAGAGCCTCCTCGTGAGGCCCTCTTGGGCCGTTTTGGGAACCTCTTGAGTTGCGTTGAGGCCATCTTCAGAGCCTCTTGAGCCGTCGTGGGTCATCTCGGCCCGTCTTCATGTTATCTTGACTGCAATTGAAGCCGTCTTAGAGGCAAGATTGGCCGCTCGCCTGCACGCCGACAAGACCGCCGGAGAGCAATTTCAGGGGGGGATGTTTCAGGGATGCGTGCGAGTTAGGGGGCTGAAGAAACTTCCCAGACAAAAACAAGCATTCTAACACGCCCACTCCGTGCAAGCACGGTGGTTTGGAGGCGTATTGGGGACCTCCTGAGGTTGTCTTGGGGACTCCTTGGACCTTCGGGGCTATCTTAGAAGACGCCTGAGCTGTCGCAGGGGGGCCCTTGGCCCGTCTGGCGCAGGCGGAATCCGTCCTCGGCGCAGGCGGAATCCGTCCTCGGGGCCCCTCTGGGCCGTTTTTTGGGGGGCCCTCCTGGAGCGCTTGAGGGCCGTCCACGCGGCCTGTTGGGCGATCGTGGGGGTCCTCTTGCCTGGCATCGCTCGGACGTGTGCATTTTTCCTTCGGCGAGGACCATCTAGGAGAATCCTCGACCATCTGGCGAAAAAAACACGCACAAAACCGAAAAAAGCACAGGGAATGGACGTCCGAGCGTGGGCCATCGTGGGGGTCCTCTCAGGCAGACTCGGGTTTCTTTGGGGGGCCCTCACCGGCTGTCTGGGAGCTATCCTAGAAGCCCCTCGGGCCGTCGTGGGCGCTCGGGAGCCCAATGTCAGGAGGGAAAGAAGCACACAGACACAATGAATCGTCGAATCCCCAGAAAATATAGGAAAATGTGGGCAGTGGGGGGGAAGACAGAAACCCAGAAAATATGGAAAACTATTGGCAATCCTTTTATTTGTGTGTATTTATTTGTGTGTCCCAGGGCCCCTTCGAATGGGCGAGAGCTTCAAATTCTGGTTCAATAACCTGAGGATCATCATGGGGGGGCCTCTGGGCCTTGGGGTCCTCTCTGGCCGTCTCCAATGCCTCTTGAGCTGTCCCGGGCCATCTTGAGCCGTTTTGGTATCGTCTTGGCTATCTGCGAAGCCGTCCTGGAGACCATCTTGGCCGTTTGGAGGCTGATCAGAGCGACGGGAAACATTGTCAGAGGGGACGATTTCTAAGTACACGCGTGCCGGGGGCGGGGTGCGGCGGCCCTAGAAAACATACAAAAAGCTCCCAGACAACAGACGAGCATGCTAGCACGTCCACTCCGTGCCGGCACGGTGACGGACTTCCCCCTGTTAACAGCCACCAGAGAACCGACAAAATTCCGAAGGTCCGCGCGGACATCCAAACCTCTACGTTTATGTGTGTAGATTCGAATTCTAGACGCTTCGCCTAACCCCACCAGCCGACTTCTCCCCGCCGTTCCTGCGCCGTCCCAGTGCCGGTCGCCGCGCTCGTCCCCAACTGTCGGAATGCTTGGCTTGACCACCTGGTAGCGCTGCCGCGCAACTGCGTCCCCACCTGCTGGGATGTCTGTACCGGTCACCTCTTAATGTGGGTCATTTTGTCCCAGGCACGTGCGCACGCCCTTTGGCCTATGCGCCACTGCGGCTAATGACCTTCGTTCAGCGCCCCGAACGTTGCCCCGCTTCTTGACATTAATCCTGGAGCCGCCGACCAAAAAAAAATAACCCCACCAGCCCATCCAGAAACGATGCCCAGAGGAATTGCCTCGATCAGGGAAGTGGGCAGCACACAGAGGAAGGGTCCCCCAGTGGAGGCCTCTTGGAGCGTCTTGGGGGCCTCTTGGCGGTCCCAGACGCCTCTTAGAGCGTCTTGGGTGCCTCGGAGAGCTTCTTGGGGCCTCTTGGGGGTCTCTTGGGAACATCTTGGAGGCCTCTTGGGCGCCTGTTGGGGCCTCCTTGGGCCTCCTGGGCGCCTCTTGGGGCCCTCTTGAAGCGCTTTTGGGAGCCTCGGGAGCGCTCTTGGAGCCCTCTTGGGCCATCTCGGAGCCATCTTGAGGCCTCGGATGGCCATCGGAAGCGAAAAGGCGAGAAAGCCAAAAACATTGATTTTACCAAGGTTTTTGGAGAATTTGGGCGTCTTTGGGGCCTCCTGGGAGAGATTTCTGGCCACTTGGAACCGTCTTGGAGCGGTTTTGGGGCCTCGTGGGGCATCGTGGGAGCCATCTTGAGGCATCTTTGGATATTTTGAGCCATCTTGGAGGTCATCTTGGGCTCAGCCAGGCGCTGCTGGTGTCATCTTAAGCCGTGCCCCCCCCCCCCCCCCCCCCCCCCCCCCTCAGGAGGCTAAGCTGTGGCCAGAGCTTCCGTAAACTTAATGATTCTGGTATTGTCGCCGAGGCCTCTTGGAGCGTCTTGGGTGCCTCTGGGGGGCCTCGTGGGGGTCTCTTGGGGGCCTCTTGGGGGCATCCTGGGGGCCTCTTGGAGGCCCCTTTGGGCCTCCCGGCCACCTCTTGGGGAACTCTTAGGGCACCCTTGGGAGCCTTGGGAGCGCTCGTGGGGCCATGTCGGATGAGATCGATCAACGAAGGGGGGGTCCTGAATTAGCGTCGCCCCTCCAAGAGGCAAAAATGGGGCCAAGGCCTTAATAAAACCAATGATTTTGGCTTCCTCGCCGAGGCCGTTTTGGACGCTCCGACGACTCGCGGAAATCCCCGTCCAGGTCCAGGGGAGTGGGTCGGGGGAGGGGTAAGCCCTTCCCCGAAGGGGAAGAAAGGGGTGGAAGAGGGCTGGTTGTTTTGTACATGTGTGCATATATATATACATATGTGTATATATACATACATACATACATACATACATACATACATACATACATACATACATACATACATACATACATAGATACCTACATACATACATACATACATACATACATACATACTTACATACTTACATACTTACATACTTACATACTTACATACTTACATACTTACATATACATATACATATACATATACATGTACATGTACATATACATATACATATACACACGTATTATCCCGGACCCCCCCCACCTCTCCCTGAAATCGGACCCCCGAATCCCGGGCCCACGGGTGCACAGATCCGTGGCCCCGGGGACCCCCTGGACGCCCCTGCAGGAAGCCCCCCTGGAAGCACTTGCGGGGCCTGGGCAACAAGTTGAAATTGGTCAGGAGGTCGGCCGAACCCCCCCCCGAGGGCCCCAAGAGGCCCCAGACACCCACCAGACGCCCGAAGACGACCCAAAGAAAATCCCCAAGAGGCTTCCAAAAAGTAGAAGGTTTTCGTATAATTTTTGAAACGCCCTGTTCTTCGGTCTTCTGGGCGTCCAAGACCGCCTGGGAACCGAGAAAATCAAACGAACCGGAAGGGCTTCCAGGCAGTCCAAGAGAGCACCAAGACGGCACAGCAGGGTTCCAAGATGGCCTGAGAGAGAACCATGACGGCTCAAGATGGCCCCAAGACGCCCTCCGAAGCATTCCAAATCGTGACCCGGTCGTTCAGGGAGACCGCGGTTAGAGACAGGGTGGCACGAGGAAGCCCACAGAGGCCCCCAGAAGATGCCCAGGAGGCCCCCAGGAGGCTTAAAAAAAACCTGAAAATTTCCGTGAGACCCCCAGAGGCTCTCCAAGGAGGAGCCTCCGCCAAAAGAGCTGAGGAGGATGGGGAAGAATTCGCAGGGTAGGGCGAGAATGGGGAAAAAGAAACATGGAGGCAGGACAGCGAATAACATTATTATAACGGCGATGCCGAGGGAAAAACCAACAAGGAGTTATCGAACCATGTTTTGTTTGATTGCCTTGCCATTCCGCCTGCATGCCAAATTCCAAGGACCAAGGTGCATGGCGCGAAGTGCCAATGTAGTCTTGTATGTGTGTATATATATATATATGTGTGTATCTGCGTGTGTGTGTGTGTGCGTGTGTGTTCGTATTCCATTCGAGCTGTCCCTTTTCGCCGCGCGGCCGGGCTTTGGTACCGAGGAGAGCAAGCTGAGCTACCGCGGCGTCCTTTCCCAGATCGGCTTCACCAACTGGTTGTGGTACAGGTGCGTCCGACCAAGTCTCGAGGCGACGAAGTCCTCGCTCCCGGACATAGATTTGAGCGATTGCCCGTACGGCATAGAGGACATCGACGAGATCTTCAACATGTACTTGCCGGCAGGCAAGCTCAAAAAAGACGAGAAGGACGACAAGAAGGATAAGAAAGACAAGAAAGACAAGGACAAGGACAAGAAGGATGACAAGAAGGACAAGAAAGACAAGAAGGACGACAAGAAAGACGACAAAAAAGAGAAGGACAAGGAAAAAGACAAAAAGAAGAAGAAAGATGCCGTCACACTGAACACCAAGGAGAAACTGCAGGCGTTTTATCGTTGTTGCCTGGTTGAATGTGGGTGGCGCAGCGGGTCCTCCTTACGAACCGCTGGTGCGGCAGTTTGGGCCCAAAACTAAGACCCGTCGGTGCCTCCTCCCTTATAGTCTCCACTTCTCTAAGGTAGGGGGACCAAGGGGTGGCTGGAGGAGGAAGGGAGAGGAGGTAAAGGAAGGTGAGAGGGCAGGGGGGCGGAGGGTGGACAACGGGTGGAGGGGGATGGGATGGGGAGTTTAGGACGGACGAGGGGTGGATGGCGGAAGAGCTGGGAAGGAGATAGTGAGATGCAGCAGGGAAGAGGGAGTGAGAGAGCGAGAAGACAGAAGGAACAAGAAGGAGGGCTGAGGACGAGGGGGACACGAGGGAGGAAGGGAAGGATGAGAGAAAACGAATGTACCGTGTCTGGCGTGTCTAGGGTGCATGCGGTGGTGTGCCTGGGGTGTGTCTGGAGTGCATATGGGTCTGTCTGGATCTTTCTGGGGTGCCTCTTTGCGCGCGATCCTCTTAACATATTCGCGCTTTTGAAATGTAACCAACCCAGGAACTGTTCACACTCCATTGTTGTGTTCGTGCGCGCACCGCAACATCTCACAGGACTCATGCCCAGTGGCTAGACCTCTACGACATAACAATTTCGAGGCCAGGATGCGTGCCAAAGTATTCGCCAGCTTTCGGGGGTTTAGACACAGCCAAGTTGCGTGTAGACGCATTATTGTTGGTGTAGAAGCATGCGTTTTTTGTGTCTACGCTGGCTCGCTTACGGTGGTCAATGTTCAAGCTCATGAGGGTACTACGCCTCCGATTCTTCCGCCGTAGAGAGCAGAAGGGATGAGCCAGACAAGGGCGGTCGGAGGATCATCGCCGTCGAAGTCGTCGGAGCGGGAGTCGTCGTCGGCGTCGGAATCGCCGGAATTGGAGATGGGGTCGTCGCACTAGGAGTCGTCGGAGTCCTCGTGGCCGTCGTCACGCCGGGGTGTGACGGGGTGTGTCTTGGTGTGTCTGGTGTGTCTCTGTCGTGTGTCTAAGTGTGTCTGGGGTATGTCGAGGTCTGTCTGGCTTGTGTCTGGGTGAATCTGGGTTGTGTCTGGCGTGTGTCCGGCGAGTATCGGAGGTTTGCCTTGCGCGTGCCTGGCGTGTATTTGGGTGTGTCAGGCGTGTGTCTGTGCTGTGTCTGAGTGTGTCTGGCATACGTAAGGGTTTGTCTGGCGTGTGCGTGGCGTGTGTATGGCGCGTGTCTGGCGTGTGTCTGGCGTGTCAGTGTGTGTCTGGCGTGTGTCTGAGTGTGGCTTGGAGTGTCTGGCGTGTGTTTGGGGGGTCTCTGGGTGTGTCGGGCGTGTGTCAGGCGTTTGTCTGGCGTGTGCCTGGCGTGTTTGGCGTGTGTATGGCGTGTGGCGTGTGTCTGGCGTGTTTCAAACGTGTGTCTGGCGTGCGTCCGGCGTGCGTCTGAGGTGTGTCTGGCGTGTGTATGGCTTATGTCTTGCGGGTGTATGGCGTGTGTCTGGCGTGTTTTTGGCGTGTGTCTGGGTGTGTCTGGCGTGTGTCTTGGTGTGCCTGCCGCGTGTCTGGCGTGCGTCTGGCGTGTGTCTGGCGTCCACGGTGTGTCTGGGGTGTGTCCGGGGTTGGTACGATGTTGTGCCCATGCGATCTCGAATCGGCTTCTCCTAGATACCCATCCGGCAAGATTCGACTGGCCTCTTCTGAGGTTAGCCACGTATCGTTCGAACAAGTGAACCTGCACCGATCTGCAGCGGCTTCTGAAGGTTGAGCACTTGCTCAAGAACATGATCTTCGGGGAGGACGGAAAGAAGAAGACGATCACCACAGGTTGGGCGAACATGATCGAAGAGAAGGACTTTGCCACATCAAAGCCCCGCCCTACCGCCTTTTCCCTTGGGTGTGAGAGCGCGAAGGTGGGAGAAGCAGAACTCAGGGTCTATTTCGGTGCGATCCATCCGATTAGATATCGAGTCTGGCCGGCCCGATCCGATTCGATTCCGATATTCTGGCGATCTGATGTTGCCCGCTGTTTGCCAGCGGTGTTCGGCATCCTGGCGGTCGATCCGACTAGATCCCGACTCAGTGCCGATGCGGCCCGACCTGACGGATGTCCTTATCCGACCCGACTTTGCGAGTCGATGTTGCCGGTTCTTGGAAGCAGGGGGAGGCAGGACGCAACTCTTGGGTGGTCGAAAACCCGAAAACCAGCCTAATTCAGCACAGTCCCGCCTAGCCCGCTTGACCTGACCGAATCCTTGGATGAATCCGGCTCCATGGCCCCAGAACTCAAGGGTCGTGACGCCCGCTGAACCCCAGAGCGATTCAGCTCATCCCGATGATTGGCTATTCAGCCGGACCAGGTTTAAATGGCCTTATACTTGCTTGTAATCCTTCTGACGAAGATCTCCCATGAGTGGCCTCCTGCTGGGGGGCGGGAGCAGCACACGCGCGTGTGCGTGGCAGTTTCCCCCCGAGGACATCAACGTGCTTGTCCCCTGGGAGTTCCAGATAGGACCACCCCGCCGCACGCCTTCGCGGGGCCTCGCTCTCCCTCCTCGAGGAAAAAAAACTGCACGAGTGGAAGCCTTCCACGGTCCGCGCGGATTCGTTGCATTTGCGCGGGGCTCCCCCAGACATGCTCGCGTCGTGAAAAACTCAGGACGGGCGGTGCTTGGCCGCGTTCTTCGCCTCCAGGTTCCTCTGCCAGGCCCCGTGGCCGTCAAGAAACAGCTCGGGGCGAAAAGCCGGTACACTGGGGAACGGGTCGGGTCGGCAGCCTTGAGACGGGGGTCAATGCAAACGGGGGGTCAGCCAGAGCGCCCGATCTTGCAGGATCCTGCAGGGCCAGGGTCGCACTGACCCGGGTTTGGGTGCAGGGTCCTGCAGGATCTTGCAGGATCCTTCGCATTGACCCGGGTTTGGGTGAGGGTCTTGCAGGATCTTGCAGGATTCTGCAAGGCCTGGCTGACCCGGGTCTGGATTGACCCGGGTCAGAAGATCTCTGATCAGGCATTCCGGGGACGCCGGTCTGCGAAAATCGAGACATCCCGGGGTGGGGCGTGCGCCCACCTCCTCGCCTTGCTTGGTTCGGGCGAGAGTTGGAGATAGGATTAAGTTGGGCCTGTCCCACCCCTCTTGGACGCCCCCCTCCTGGACGCCCCCGACCCCCGACCCCCGCCCTCCTCCGATCGCCCGGGGCGGGCGCAGTGGGCGGGGCGCGGCCCCCAGCGCACGTCATGCGGCAGTGCATGCAGCTCGAGTACACCACCAAGAAGAAGAAGGAGCGCGCCCGCCGCCGCCGGCTTCCCCTCGGCCCCCTCGTGTCGTGCCAGCGGGCCCGTGCGGGCTCGACTTATGTCGGGCGTGTCCCCCTACAGGGGGGATTTCCACGAAAAATAAGACATACCCAAAAAATACCCCCCCCCAAAAAAAAAATACTGAAAAAAAAGTCCCCAAATTATTTTTGGATTATGTTTAAGGTATTTTTTTGATTTTTCGTTGAAAATCCCCCTGTAGGGGGACAGGCCCGACTTAAAGCTCGACCGACGGCCGCCTCGAGGGCGGCCTCGCCCGCGCCGAGCCGCTCCGGCCCTGGGCTTCTGGCGCTGCGGTGCGTCCCTGTAGGCGTGCTGCACAGCGCGCGCGCGTGCGCCCGGCTGGGCTGCTCTGAGCGGGCCCGGCTCCTCTCTCAGGCTCCTTCCTGGGCCGGCGCCGCGTCGCTCTCCTCCCCCCTTTCCTGCGCGGTGGCCGACTGCGCCCATGACGCACCCCGTTTTGCTTTTTCCTCGCCGGCGCAGTCCCTCTGCCTGGTCGCCGATTTGAGCTGATGCACTCGATCCGATCCGTCGTAGCGATGCGATCCTGTCGTCTCTCTCTCTCTCTATCAGCCGGCGGCGTACAGGGTGGGGGGGGTGGCGTGGGAGGGGGCGGCCTGTGAGGAAGGCAGGAGGCGGGTTCTCTAACGGGATGCCCCCGATCATGACCCCCTGGAAATGACAAAGTCTGTTATTCCCTCCTGCCCATCCAGACACAATCGGAGGGTTTCTTCAGGCCTCTTGGAGGCTATCTTGAGCCATGCTCGGCTAGATGCTGTCGGAGGCTATCTTGAACCATGCTCAGCTGTATTGGGCCATCTTGAGTCTGTCTCGAGGACTCTTGGAGGTTTGTCGGAGGCTATCTTGAGCCATGCTCGACCTCATGGTACCATCTTGGGGGTAGGAGGAAGGGAAGAGGAGGAGGATACCGAGGATGAGGAGGATGAGGAGGGGGAAGAAGATGAGGAAGGGCAGGAGGAGGAGGAGGAGGAAGAGGAGGGAGAGTGCGGCACGAGGAAGATGATTATGATGATGCTGCTGATGATGATGACGATGATGATGACGATGAGTATGATGATGCTGCTGCTGATGATGATGGTGATGCTGATGCTGATGGTGATGCTGATGCTGATGGTGATGCTGATGATTGTGATGATGCTGATGATGCTGCTGATGCTGATGCTGATGCTGATGATGCTGATGATGATGAGAATGATGATGCTGCTGATAATGTCGATGATTGATGATGATGATGATGATGATGATGATGATGATGATGCTGATGCTGATGCTGATGCTGATGCTGATGCTGATGCTGATGCTGATGCTGATGATGATGATGCTGATGCTGATGCTGATGCTGATGCTGATGATGACGATGACGATGACGATGATGATGATTATGATGATGATGATGATGATGATGATGATGATGATGATGATGATGTTGATGATGATGATGATGATGATGATGGTGGTGGTGGTGGTGGTGGCGGCGGTGGTGGTGGTGGTGATGGTGATGATGATGATGATGATGATGATGATGATGATGATGATGATGATGATGATGCTGATGATGATGATGATGATGATGATGATGATGATGATGATGATGATGATGATGATGATGATGATGATGATGATGATGGTGGTGGTGGTGGTGGTGGTGGTGGTGGTGGCGGCGGTGGTGGTGGTGGTAGTGGGGAGGAGGAGGAGGAGGAGGAGGAGGAGGAGGAGGAGGAGGAGGAGGAGGAGGAGGAGGGAGGGAGCAGGCAAGGAATAGGGATGGAACCGACGATGACAAGAGTCGAGCTTTGGCGATGTGTTGTTGTGATAGGTCCTTGAAGAATGGTTAATGCCATCTTAGGGGCTCTCTTGGGGTCCCCGTTGGGCCTCTTGGGGCATTCTTGGGGCCCCCTTGGGGCTCGTTGTGGGGGTCTTGGGGCCCTCTGGGGGATCATTGGAGGGGTCTGAGAGGCCTCTTGGGCCCCATGTATTATATCGGGTCCCCCCCCCCGGAGTCTCAAAAAATTAATATTGTGTCTTCTTGTGCCGCTCTTGGAGCCCTCTTGGGCGCTCTTGGGACCCTCTTGGGCCCATATTGGGCCTCTCTTGGGCCGTCTTGGGGCCATCTTGGCATGGATCCCCAATCGCCCACTCATTGCCAATAGGGGCCTGATAGCCCAACCCGCCCAGATCGATGCTCCCCGCCCTGAGCTGGTACCACCCTCGCTGCCCCTCACGAAGGCACGCAGCCCATGCGTGCCCTCGTTCATCGCACCGCGCGCTATCAGGGGCGTATCGCTGATCTACTGGCGATGTATCCCCGATTCTAGGTTTATGTTTCCCTCGACTTTGCTCCAAGTTCCCTCTTCATGGTGGGCCGTTAGAAGACAGCCGTGGCATTTGCAGAGGCAGGGTGAGGAGGAGGAGGAGCCAGGAGCCAGGAGCCAGGACCGAGGCACGAGGAGGAGATCCGAGGAGGAGCGAGGAGGAGCGAGGAGGAGGAGGGGGAGGAGGAGGAGGAGGAGGCGGCTCGTGAGGAGCTCCTCTTCTGCAGCGGCTCCCTCCCCGGAGCCCGCCCCGCCCCCCCGCAGGAGGACCCGCCCCCGGCGGCGTACTACGAGATGGCCCAGGCGCGCCGGGCTGCCGCCCCCCCCGCCCCGCCGGCGCGCGCCGCCCCGGCGGCGGGCGGCCCGCCGCCGTGCCGTCTGTGAGGGACGGGGCCCGCTGCGAGGGGAGCGGTCGGCGGCATGCCTGTGGACGGCGAACATCGGGACGACCGACATGGGTACGGAAAGAATGGGGTACAAAGACCGACAGCAGTTCTTGTTCATTCTGAGCAGGATTCGCTGTCGGCGCCGCCACGGATTGTGTCCATTTGAGACAGAAGGCCGCCTGCCAAACAGCGGCCACTGTTGGTTCGGGACAACATTTGTTGTTCGGCATTGTGCCCACTGTTCCCGTGCCCATGTCGGGCGTCCAAAGAACAAGAGAGAGGGATCGGGCCGGACGAAAGGGGGGATTGGGAAAGGGGGGTTACGAAATCTGCTGCATGCAGCTGGTTTCGGCCTCACTGCGAGGGGCCCATTACTCGACACATGGCCGCCTCAGGCGCTGGGAGGCGCCGGGGAAATCCGGCTTTGCTATCCCCCCCTTTCGCCCGGCCCGAATGGGAGCACGTTGTCAAATAATCTCCAGGTGTCTAGACTCTAGACAATAGTTATTGAATCGCTTCGCTCATTCCGCCGGCCCGTGATATGGCATCGCTGGTTTTTGTCTGTGTGTTCGTTGCCCATGTTGCGCTCTTGGGGGCGGGTGTCGTTCGGACGCGTTGCGTGGGGAGTTTTGATGGTGAAGCAGTTCCCTGGGGGTCGTCTCTCGATGGGGCGAAATAGAGTCGTCGTCAAGATGCTTCTTTGGGGGGCCTCTTGGGGTCTGTTGAGAGGCCGTTCGGGGGCGCCTGGGAGACATGTTTGAAGCCTTCTGGGGCTTCTTTTGGGCCTCCTGGGAGTCTCCTGGGGCCTCTTGGCGACATCTTGGGGCCTCTTGGAGGCCTCTTGGGGCCTCTTTGGGACCTCCTGGGCGCCTTCTGGGACGGAGGGCTCCATTTTTGAGTTCTCGGTATCCCTCCTGAGTCCCTCTTGGGCCCGTCTTGGGGCCTCTTGGTCCGTCTTGGGCGGCACTTGGGCCGTCTTGAGGGCTCTCTTGGGTCGTTTCGGCGCCGTCTTGGGAGCTTCGTGGGCCGTCTTGGAGCGGTCTTGGGGGCCTCTTGGGCCGTCTTGGAGCGTCCGGAAGCCGAAAAAGCCAGAACACAAAAAACATAGAAAAAAACAATGAAAATCAACGATTTTGGCCTCTTGGGGCTCTCTTCGGAGGCCTCTTGGAAGGCTCTTGGGGCGTCTTGGAGGCCTCTTGGGCTGTCTTGGGGGCCTTTTGGGCCGTCTTGGGGTCATCTTCGGCGTCTTCGAGCGCTCTTTGGGCGTCTCGGGGGCCTCTTGGGCAGTCTTGGGGGCCTCTTGGGGCACTCTGAGCGCGCTCTGGGGAGCCTGAGAGGCCGCACCCAGAAGGAAAACCATCTCTGAGTAGACTTGGTCGGGCGGCGACCGGGCGTTGGTCGGGGTACTTTTCGCCGGGGGACCCCCAGGGGCCGCCCCGCGCGCGCGAACTAGAAATACTGTTAATACTGTTAACCAGTTACCGGAGATCTTAGCATGCCCTGGCCCGTTGGGCCGGCGAATTTTAAGCATGTCTAAAACATACTTCAAACATGTTTAGAACATGTGTCAAGCATTCGGAACAAATTGTTATGCCAAGGATCGGATTTTTAGGGTGTCCGTTGTCATGGCATTCGCAACAGCACGCACCCAGGCCTCCCGCGAAATCCTTGCGACGCACCTTTTTGCACGTTGCACCCTCGGGGGACCGCGTCTGTCGCCCAAATTGGTGTCTCTTCTTGTGCCCGACGCGGGCTCGATGCGGACCCGACGTAGATCTGAGACGGACTTGACACGGATTCGACACGGATTCGGCGAGCCCGACATGGATTCGACACGGATTCGACGCGGATAGGGGCGCGACGGGACCAGAAGGTCACCCGAAGAATCAACATTTGTTCTTCACAACGGGGGGCGTCTTGTCCCAGTTTAGGGCCCCGGATCATCAAATTTCGATCTGGCTCGAAAAGTTGGGCAGAGATTTGGGGTCTGGGGCTCTGATCGTGATTTTGTGAGGTGCTGCATGTTTGTTCGTTGTGCCGAATCTCAGGTCCCCCCCAGATCTCCGACGGTATGTTTTTCTCAACTGGCACTGATTCTTCGATTCGGGTTTGCACTTAGCGTTAAGTCGGGCCTGTCCCTCTACAGGAAAAATATTTTGAAATAGTACAGAATAGTCTGGTGGCGAATTTCCAAGGCATCTTCAAACTACAACAAATAGTATGGAAATTGCCTCCATGACAGAAGCTTCGCTAGCAGACGGCGCGCGCGTCTGGAAAACATGCTGCGCCGTGTGGCGTCGTTATGACCTGGTGCGCCGCTCGGGGTGGCGACAGCGCGCGCTGCCGCGTTTTGGCACGCGTGTGCTTTGGCAGCGAAGTGGTTTGTGCACAGCGCACAGTGAGGACCGACTGCGCTTTGCCATCGCATGCCGGATGGCGCGGCGGCGCCACTAGAAACCGATGCGACGCATCATCGCTTCGGCGATCACCCTTTGGACATTCGCGTGTGGTCTTGGAGGCCCAGACCCTGCGTTTACACTGTGCGGCCCCGCAGCCGCAACCATCGCCCGAACAGGTTCTGCGGCCGCTAGAATTCAAATTTCATGGCAGCAGATACCATATTCCTCCACGCATATCGTCTCAATGCCTGCGTACCTTCTTTGCGCATCAACAAAGGCATGGTTTTTCTTCCTGGTTCCTTTCTTCGCTCCTCCTTCGACCGTTTCAAACAGTCGCTATTGGTCGGGTTCGCCTCCCGTGATTCTCCGAGATGCCATAGGGGATCCTACCAGCGCAAGTCTTAGCGCTGGTAGTACCAAGCCCCAGGGCTATCCATGATGGGCCCAGGACGAAACTACCCCAAGGGAAGCGGTTGGGATCTCTGGGGCCGCGGATTGCAAAGTCAGAGATCGGCGCGTGTCAGGACCAAGCGCGTTCCCAAGCCGCTGCTGCTGGTGCCACGATGCCTGCCCAGGCGTGCGATGTCGTGGTTTTGCAGCAGAGGGCCCCCAGAAATCCCGATCCCTCCCCGGGACCGGTCCTTCGTCCTGTGTTTTATTATTCGCCGCCCACCAAATCACCCCAACCCAACCAGAAGGCCCAACCTGACTCTCGATTTCCAGTGGGGGCGTGTTGAGGAACATCGGATACAAAAAACAAAAAAAAAAAAAAACAATGCGGAACCCGTACCCCCCGCCAACCCGAAACTTGGGTCTTCGGGCTAGGTTGGCCTGGTCTGGTAGGTAGTCAGGTATAGCCTAGATCAGGAGGGGGAAAAACACACAGACACAATTAATCGACGATTTCCAATATTGGAACATATGGGCAGTGGGGGGAAGACAGAAACCCAGAAAATATATGAACATATTGGGAATACTTTTATTTGTGTGTATTTATGTGTGTGTCCTTGGGCCCCTTGACTATATAGCTTTTCACGGTCCCGGCAAGGGCCCCCGAAGGCCCCGCACGGCGAAAGGTCCCCGCTTTGTTTCTTGCAGGGCGCGGGCGAGCACGCCTGGGCCTCTCTTGGCGCTCCATGCTCGCGCCGTGGCCGCTGCCTCCGGTCGCTGCTGCACGCGCGGCGGGGTCGGGGAAATGCTCGGGATCCCGCAAAGGGCCCCCCCCCGTGTGTGTGTGTGTGTGTGTGTGTTGCGTGTGTGTGTGTGTGTGTGTTGCGTGCGTGTGTGTGTGTGTGTGCGTGTGTGTGTGTGTGTGCGTGTGTGTGTGTGTGTGTGTGTTCGTGTGTTCGTGTGTCTGTGTCTCTGTCTGTGCCTGTGTGAAAGAGAATTCGATTGTGTGTGTGTGTGTGTGTTGCGTGTGTGTGTGTGTTGCGTGCGTGTGTGTGTGTGTGTGCGTGTGTGTGTGTGTGTGTGTGTGTTCGTGTGTTCGTGTGTTCGTGTGTCTGTGTCTCTGTCTGTGCCTGTGTGAAAGAGAATTCGATTGGATGCGCACCGAACCGCCCAAAGCAGATGCCCCCCAGCCGCCGGCAGCTCCCGAGAGTTGCCGATCGGTGGGGGGGGTGGGGGGGGGCATCTGTTTGCGGCAGTTGGGTCGAACTCACGACCCCCCGCAGGGTCACCCCCACTTTGGTGGACCCCGATCTGGGCCGCCCCGCGCGGGGGAGCCCGGCGGCGAGGGGCTCACGGAGTAGGCGGATGGTCGTTGGTAGGTTTTTGGGCGGGCGGGGCTTCTCGCCCCAGGCGTGCTCGCGTGCTGCAGAAGGTCAGGGCGGGAGCTGCTTCGGGCCCCCAGCGTGTTCTCGCGGAAGGCGTTCGGGGAGTGCGACCAGAGAGCGGGGAGTTCCAGGGCCGAAGCCGCGCAGTTCGCGGCAGAGCTGGGCTTCGTGCTGTCTCTCGCCTGAGCGCGGCGGCGCCCCGCTCGAGGCCTGAGGGGTTGCCCCAACGGCTTCGCGATTCTGCCCTCGGAAAGCGCGTCTTTGCCGGCCGCGCCAGCGACGGCGCCAACGAACATGATTTTGCGCGCTTGTACTAGCAGGGGCTGGGGGGAGGTGGATGGGGGAGAAGACGTAGGAGGACGAGGAGGAGGCAGAGCAGGGGGCGGGAAGAGGGCCTCCGCCAGGTCGCAAAAGAAGAGCGATGAGGAGACAAGCGCGACGATGAGGTTTAATTACTTCCGTGTACTGATTTGGGAGGTTTTCACGCGGGGTCCTACCGTTGGAATGATAGGTTTTATTTTCGCACCACGTCGGGAAGTGTTTGCCAATTGTCGGCCTCCACGGACCCTCACGGGCCCCGGGGCTGTCAGACAGCGGTTCAGGATGAAGGGGCGGCCCCGTGGAAGTGGTCTACATGTTCTGAGGGCCCACAATGTGCAGAGCAGGCGGCATCGGATTGTTTGGTCCCAGCGTGAAACTAAAAAACAGACAGTGTGCGGCCGTGCCTGTCGTGGCATTCGGGCGCCGTGATTAGAGCCCGCTGGGTGCCGTCCAACAAAAATCTACTCAGACCGTGTCGGCCCATTTTGAAGAGGGTTCGCTGTAGGTGTTGCCGCGGACGTTATCAATGTGAGAAAGCAGGTCTCCTGCCCGACATCGGCCGCTGTTGGTTTTGGATAAATTTGCGACTTGGGCATCGCATTCAGTTTTCCGTACCCACCCGTGCGTGCCACGTGAGTCAAAGGTGTCCTGGGATACATGGCCCATTGCACGTAGGAACCCCGACATTCCGAGCTTCCCGAACGCGTCGAGGCCGAAGCGGCCGGTATGTCGCCATGTATGGTTAGTGTGTGGTGGTGTTGACCGTGTCAGGACCATCAAACCAATGTGATCAACGCTGGGCCGCGACAGTCGTGGCTTGCCGAATTGTGTAAGTTTACGTGCGTATGAGACAGTGTACAAATGCCAACTATCAAATGATGCACACTCCCACTTTGAGACTGGAAACGAGCAGTGAGATTTGTTTGCTTGGCACAGGACATGCGCCAGGTTGATCGTGTGCCTTTTGACACGATTTGAGTTAATGAGTCGGGGGAGGTCGAGTGGCTTACGAGTGTATGCATCGCGAAAATCGTATCGTTGGATATAAGGAAACTGCCCTTTCTCTGGAGTGACCTTTTGTGTGAGCCTACTGGGGCTTCCCAATCGCCGAATGCGCGATAGCAGCGGCCTGTGCGTTTGGAGTTCGCCCTTCCTCCCGCCAACCCGCGCACCAACGGTCACTGGTGCCGAAGGTAGGGATCCTTGCGAAAACGGGTCCTGGAGGTTCTGAGAGTTTTCTGTTTCCCAGGGCCCTCCTCGGGCTCCAGGCCCGTCAGAAAGTGGTTCTGGATGAAAACCTGGTTCTGGGGATAGCCACAGGGCCCCTCAGGAACCTGACCATGATCATGCCAACCGTGGGCCGGCTTGGTCCCCCCCCAATGTTGGGCACCGCAGGACGCACGAGATGCACCATACCCTAAGACTTGGGCCCTAGCAATATCGATCACTTCCTCAAGGCCACGTTTTCAGCCCGTGTCGTTTTTAACGGTTTTCGGAGGGGGAAAAGCATTCTACAGCTTGAAAGTAGTGGAACTAAATTGCCATCGCGATGTGTTTTTGCGACGCCCATGCCACCAAGAAAGATGCGACGTCTTGGAAGACATGGTGCACTGCCCGGCTGTATTGACGTAGCGTGCCGTGGGTCCGCGAGAACTTCTCGGGTCGGCGCCGTGTCCACCATGACGGCTCCGCCCCTGGCGCGCTCGTCAGGTCCGCGCGGACCTCCAGCAGTAACGACTCGCACCGCTCCCGGCCAGCCACATCCCTCGAGTAGGGGATCGGCGACAGAATTGACCGACCCATCAGTTGACTTGCCGTCGAATCTACGTAACTAGGAAGTTCCGTAGATCTACAGAGCATTCCACGCATTGCTCGTAGATTCGAGTGAGAATCAACGATGGGGTCAATCAATTCTGTAGTCGAACCCCTATTCGAATCTAAAGCCATCATCGACGTACGCCTTCCTGACCAGGGCCAGGAGGGCGCACGCAGCGATCCTGAAGCTCGGGGTGGGCCAGGATCGGTGCAGTCGTGCAGGTGCATAGCGGGCGCCCCCAGAGAGCAGGGAGGCCCAAGAGGTCGAACGCCGAACATCGGAGACGTGATTTTGATAGTTCGTGGGTCCCTTGCCGAATAATCGTCAAGAAGCAACAGCGCACATAAACATGAACTTCTGGAGGCCCGCGGACATTTCCGTTCCCGGCGCGCGGAGCGCGGCAGGGGGGCGGCGCCGCGGGCGACGCCAGAGGGGAGCCAGCACCGACGCAAGACGTCCGCGGGCAGCTTGGTGAGCGGCGGGAGTCGTCGAGCGTCGGGTACCGGATCGGCCTGCCCCCCCCTGCCCCCGAGCCTCGGAGGTGGCAGACGGGTCCGAGGTTCCCCGGGGTGGGCGAGGCCAGGCGAGCGACGTGGCAAAACGAGGCCGGCTTCCCAGTAGTCGCGCGCAGGCTGCCCGCGCACGAGGCCGCGCGTGGCCGCCCTCGCTGCCGCGTGGGGTGCCGCGCCAGCCGCCCGTGCAAGTCGCCGTGCAGTGTCACCGCGTCCTCGTGCTCTCCAGTGTGCCAGTGGGTCTTGGCATCGCTCGGATGTGTGCATTGTTTCTCGGCGAGAACCATCCTGGACCATCCTGGACCATCGAGCAAAAAAAGCACGCACGAAACCGAAAAATGTACGGGAAATGGACGTCCGAGCGACGGCAAGTGTGCCAGTGGGTGCGGCGGCGCTTTTCAGAGGCGGCGCTCGGCGTTGTTCGGCTGCTTGGTCTTGGGATCCTCTGGGCGTTTCGCGCGGTGGTCTGAGCTCCTCCCCTGGCTCCTCGGTCTCTTCGCGCGGGTTTCTCGCTCGGGTTCCTCTGACTCGTCGCTCGGGTTCCTGAGCAATGCCATCATGAGACAGTCCATGCCAAAGTCGTATGCGTGTTACTGGTATATCGTTTGGTGCAACGTAGCGGCGCTACCACCAGAAAACGCCCAAGCAGCGTCAGACTCGCGGTCTACATTGTGTGCTCCACAGAAGCAGCTTTCCCGCCCCCCTCTTTCCAAGTCAGAGTCTTCAGCTGTGACTGTGGACTCTCGCGATGGGCGGGCAGGAAGGAAGGTTGCAGCACGCATGGCCGATCGCCGTATGCAGAATCTGAGGAAAAGCAAGGGGCGCAGGGGCGCGTTGCGATTACTGATGCGTTGTGACATATTCAACGGCGGTACTCCGGCCCAAGTGTTTCGCCTTTCAACCAAGTTTAGCCGCCTCAGGCTAGATAACGTCGTAGGATCGCGCCGCATCGCCGATGCATCGGGGGGCGGCTTGATGTGGAGCCCGCTTCTCTGTACGCCGACGTCGCCGATGCATCGGCGATGCGTCGCGATCCTACGACCCTCTCTGCTCGGACCGCATTCGGAAGGCCTCCACGTGTTGACCCGGCGCGCTTACCCACCGGTCGGCGAAAGTTGGTATTTTGGGACTCGTAGTGTCCTGTCTATTTTAGGCGCATTTCTACTTGTACAGGCGAACGGTTGTCCGTCTTCCCTCCTCGAGGGGGCGTGCGAACGCACAACGTGTTCCCAACGCCTTACTACTTCATGGATTTGGCATATATCTCCGACAAGTATACTTCCATGTTTCTACGCTCCTACAAGTCTCCCGACAGCATACGACGTCATGTGTCTGCCCACGTCCCACCGATGGGTAGACGCTTAGACCGTCTGGCCGGCGCGTGGGGCTGCTGGCCGGCCAGGCTTTGGCGGACGCCATCAGCACCCTCCGCAAGCAGTACGCGTTCGAGTTCCCGGACAGTGCCAGCCTGTAATGTATCCCCATCTCTGGGGGCGCTCCAAGAGGGTGGGTGGTGATGACCTGGGGGGGGGTACTTCGTGAGCCGGGACAGGATATCTCCCAAGATTCCATGGCGCTTCTTCTCATTCTGATGCGTCCCCTGGGCCCCCTTCTGGGCCGCGCACATGGCTCGGGGGCCATGAGTTGCGAACCCCTCTTGGACACCCCCGACTACCCTATGACCTACGATGGGCCTCACATTATCTCGATGCCGATCGTAAGGATTACCTCAGTCTCTTAAGGCGCGTCCCAAAGATTGTCGTCGCCTTTTAGCTTGCTAATCTCAGGGATGGGGATAAGCTTGTGGCTGATAAGGACATCAAGGAGACCGAGCTTCTGCCGCTGCAGGACGCCCTGGCGCTGCAGGACGCCGGGGCACCGCGCGGCGCTGGGTGCGGGGGCACTCCGCCGTTCATTAGAATGCAGTCCCTGGGAAGTTCCATTCAGCATCGGCGCTGGTATGTCCTCGCCTACGCGTAAGAGTGATCCTTCGCCAGAGTGTCCCCCAGTGCGGGCCAACACGGATCCCGCCAGCTTTGGTTGGCGAGCTTGGATTGTTTGGATTTGATTTTCCAAGTTGCATTCGAAAGCCGCGCACCAACGGTCATTATTGTCTAGGGGCACTCATGCGTGCAGACGATATCCATAGCCAAAAGCTTGCCTAATATGGCATAACCCCGAATCATAATTTTCCATCCCGCTTCATCCAGCGCAATCGGGCCTAATAGTGGATCTAATATGGACTAGTCTGGGTTATGTTTGTTGTTTTTTTGTATAAGCGGGCGTAGCAGCCATTAACCGTTCTTTGGAGGACCTCGCAGGAGTTGCCCCCTAATTTGCACAAGCAATCGTGCAGTCTTCGGCCCATGCGCTTCTGCTTGTACGTCGCATTTCTGGGGACTTCTCCTGTCTTGTAAATGCCGGTATGTTCCGTCTCTGACGTGGTTTGAACGCGGTTTCGACGTGATCTCGACATGGACTCGGCGCCGATTCGATACGAATTCGAGGCGGCCGACATGGATTCGTAGCGGGTTCGACACGGATAGTTGGCGCGATGGGACAGGCGAGGTCCCGCGAAGATGAAAGAGCATTGTTTGTGTGAGCGATGACGCTACGTTCCCTACCTCTTCCGGGGTGCGTGCCAACCAGAATTCCAAGTTGGATCCAGACATTGCGGCGAGGGCCTCCCAAGAGGCCCACAGGCGAGAACGCGGGACGGGGCGAGTGTCGTGTCGTGCTCATGCGACCTGCGCGCGAGAGACCTAGACATCTCATGACGTGCGTGGGCTTCTCCAATCCGCGGCCCCAGAGTTCCCAACCGCTTCCCCAGGCGCCGTTTCTCGTCCCATATGGGGTCCCAAAGAATATACACCACCACCACGTCGATTCCTCCTCTCTCCTCTTTCCAGCGAGAGGGAGGGGGGGAGGGAGGTGGTGGTGGTGTATAATTTTTGGGCCCCCCACCACATTCATGTTCCATGATCATGGGATCCGAAACAGGCCCCCGAGACCTGAATCGGAGTAAGCATGCCGCATTGTAGAACCGCTGGAATGCCCCCGCCGTTCCCCCACCCCGGCGGCGCGCAAATGGGGGGGCGGGGGGGGGAGCGCGAGGGAGGGGGCCCCGAAGAAGGCGTCGGCGATTTCCTAGAAGGCAGCGCCCTTCCCATAGGGCCCATGCAGCGAGGTGTCCAAGAGGCCCTCTCAGAAGCCGTGGCGGCTTCTTCAGACCGCTCGGCGGCGCGGAGGAGAGAGCCTCCGCCGGAGTGACCGGCGGCGCGGGCCCGCAGGGTGTCCATACCCCGCACTGGCCAGTGCGCTCGGATTCTGGCTGCCCCCCGCGGCCCCCTCCAGCCGCGCACCAGAGGCCACTCGTACCGTGACCTTCCAGAGTGCTAAAGAATAGCCCTCCAGACCTGTAGACCTATCTGGGCTGCCTAAAACCTCGACAGGAATTAAGATCTCGAGGTCCTGGTGCTATTTTTCAGCCCTCCTGGAAGGTCAGGGCACACGGGGTCGCTCCTGCGAGTAGCCGAAGCGCCTCGCACGAGGCGCCCCCCCCGCCTCGCGCCACGCCCCTGCCATCACGGCCGCCCACGCTCCGATTCGGTGCTGCGCGGTGTGCTGACCGGGGCCGCGGGTCCGAGTGTCTTATTGCGAAGGCCTTGCCGCCGACCCCGAGAACGACGAAGATGAAAACGAGGGGGGGGAGGGCAGGGGGAGGAGGATGGGTGGGAGGTGGAGGGAGGGTGGGAGAGGTGGATGAGGGAGGAGGAGGAGGAGGAGGAGGAGGAGGAGGAGGAGGAGGGTGGAGAAGGATGTGGCCGCAAGTCCGATTGTTTGTCGAAAATCCCCCTGTAGGGGGGCAGGCCCGACTTAAGGCAAGGCCCAGGCCCAGGGCTCGTTTCGATTCCTCCGATTCGATTCGATGTGATGTCGGTGGCCTTCGATTCCGATTCGGTTCGCGGCTCGGGAGTGCGATTCGGGTTCCGATTTCTTACTGGAGGCATGCCAGCCTGCCGAGTTCTGCCGATTCGACTTTTCCCCACTCGGCCGCCGATTTCCGCCGATCCGATTCATTTCGATCGCCGATCCGACTTATCGATTCGATTTTGGGCTATCCTGCAGACCGCCAGCGTAATGCAAAACATATCCATCGTCGGCGCGCGCGGGGGGGGAAGGGAAGGCGGCGGAACTTCTCGGAAACCCTCGCGCCCTCTCAGAGGTTGTCGGCCTCTTCGGGGGAGGCCTAGAAAGCTGATGACAAGCCCGGGGGACTTCCGAGCCTTCTGAGAAGGCCTTCTCCTTATCTCTTGCCCCTTCCCCCGCGGCTCGCCGCTGAGCAAGGCGAACTGTCCAGGCGGAGGTCCGGCTTTTCCCAGCGTGCGGCCGCTGGGGGCCCATCGCCGGGCCACGGGGCCGTCACCGAGAGATACGTGAGGAGAGGCTGGCAGAAGGTGGGGGGCTTCTGGGGCCGCGTAGTCCACGAAGCAGGTGCAGTACTCGAAGGGGGAGAAACGCCATAAGCCTAAACTTGTGGCGTTCATCGCGGAATTCTTGGATCTGCGTTGGGATCCCCCCTGCGCCAGGGAGGGGGGGGTCCAGCGCGGATCCAGGAAATCCGCGCGGAGCGCCAACAGTTTCTGTGTATGACGGTTCTTCTGATTCTTCTTCTCTATGGGGGCCGCGTATTCCAAAAGGCAGGTTCAGCACGGCAGATGTCCAGGGAACGGGGCGTGGTCAAATGTGACTTGCCACCAGGCGCTGCAGGTGTGAGCTGGCGTGCAGCAAACAAAAACATCTCAGTGAATGGAGTGGCCCGCAAGGGGAGCGCCACCATCGGAACCAATGAGGGCGCGCCCGCATGCGTTCCCACGCCTGTGTTTGAAATTATGTGTTTCGTCCTCCCTCTTTCATGCGGGACACTTAGCCTTTTGGTTGCCCCGAACAGCCACACGCTGGAGCGGACTGCCTCAGCCTCGCCGCCGACGAAACAGTTTAGTCCCTGGACAGTTCGTCTGTAAGGGTTCTGTGTATCTCTTTCAGGCCTGGTGAGCGGATTGCCAGAATCGGCATCCAGGGAGCGACCCTGCCTCTGGTGGCCTCCAGTGGCCTCCTTCTATTCCTCTCACGTGTCCCTGTCCCCAGTTCTTCTGGCACCAGTGCGGGCGCCCGCATGCGCCCCCGCGCTCAGTTGGGCACATCTCCCTGCTTCAGATCGTGCCCAACGGGGGCCTGCGTGCGTCCACGCGCTTCTTCCGCCGCAGCGCTCGCCCTTTTCTCGCCCGCCCACGGGGAGCCCCACGTGCGGCGCCGAGGGGGGGCGCCCGCACGCGCCCCCGCGCTCGCTTCGGGACACCGCTCGCACGACCTCGCGCCGGCACGTGGAGTTTCCGCCCACGGATCCAGTGAGGGCGTTCGCATGCGACCCCCCAGGAGGAGGAGGAGGAGGCGGAGGAGGAGGAGGAGGAGGAGGAGGAGGAGAGCCCATTCTGGCACACCTCTCTCCCGCACCTTTGGCCCGAGGGGGCGCGGGCTCCGTCCGCCCGGGGCATGATCTGAGGGCCACGACCTGCGCTGCACGCAGCTGCACTGGGTTGGGGCCCTCGCCAGGCTGCGCGTTCCCTGTAGAACAGGCCGGGACGTGGCACAGAACCCAACCTGGGCGGGCCTCTGATAGTGGCTGTGTGTCCTGGTCCTCGAGCTGAAGTTGGCTATCGATCGGCGGGGTCCACGCTGCCTCGTCCACACCCGAAACGCTGCAACACAAACATGTGGCCTGCGGCAGGAGCGCTTCCGGGAGGGCTCCGTGGGGACCATGAAGTTCGACCTCCTGTGGTACCTTCAGCACGGCGCGCACCTGATCGCAGGCAGCGGGGCCCCGCGGCAGCAAGCAAGCTGGGGCGGTGGGAGCGGGATGAGTCGGGCGGGAGGTAATGGTACTCCAGATTTCGTAATAAGAGGGAGGGGTCTGGACCCTCCAAGACAAGCCATTTCAGACCTCCCCCGTGGGAGAACCCTCCAAAACATCGTCCCCAGACCCCCCAGGCCCTCCAAGATAGCCTGGAAGAGACCCCCCCCGAAATGAGACCCCCCTCCCTTTATTACGAAATCTGGAGTAGTGATTTAAAAGGGGGGTGAAGAACATGGCCCCGGCCCCTTTCGGAGCAGGGGCCCCCAAAAGAGCCCCAGAGGGTCCCTTTCGGCTCTTGTTGTCCCCCCCCCCCTTGTACGACACCACCCACTACCACCCGCCCGAAGGGGCGGGAAGGAGGGGCGCCGATTTAGCGTCGATGAGCGTCGATTCAGCGTCGATTGAGCGTCGACTTGGCGTCGACCAGCGCCGATTCGCAGGAGCCAGCAGGATGGTGTGGGAGGCTCCCACGAGCTGCCACAGGAGGAGAAAGGCCTCGCAGGCCCAGAGGTTGACACCAGCACCAATGTCGGCGGTGTGCCTCCACCGAGGGAAGAAGGTCCCGACCTCGGTGATGGTGGTCGTATTCTGGCTTCCAAGGTAACCGAAGTATTACCACCAACACCGACATCTAGGATTATCTTCCCCCTGTGGAGGCAGCCCCCTGTGTTGGTGTTGGTGCCCATTTCCAGGCCCCCAAGAAGGGACGAGGCGATGGGAGCGGAGCGCCTCCGAGGAAGGAACGTCCGCGTGGCCGCGCGGGGACTCCTCGGGCCGGCGCGGGGCAGCCCTGGCCGGGCGCCTCCTTGGCGCCGCCCCCTCGCTGGCGCGCCCCGCGCCAGCCAGCGAGCGGGGTCCGGCGGACCTCGGAAAGTTGCTGAGCGTGCCGCTGCTACAGGGGAGCGAACAGTGACATACATCTGTCAGGAGGGGAAAAAACACACAGACACGATGAATCCTCGATTCGCCAGAAAATGGGGGAAAGTATGGGAAGGGGGGGGGGAAGACAACAACCCAGAAAATATAGGAAATATGGGGAATCATTTTATTTGTGTGTATTTATTTGTGTGTTTGTCGGCCCCTTCAATATGAAAACCCGGAGGTCCGCGCGGAGTTCTCGGATCGGCGCCGGGCCCCCCCGGGTGGCGCCTCCGGCGCCGCCCCTGGCGCGCTGGAGGCGGCGCCAGGGAGAGGTGCCCGGCACGGGTCCAAGAAATCCGCGCGGAGCGCCAAGAGTGTATGTTTCTGCAGTTGTGTCTTCGGCTTGTGCCACACGTGTATGCTTATGCTTATGCTCAGAGCGTGAATTACCTACCCCGCTTTCGCTTCCAGGCAAAGCCAAGCGCTGCAAGCCATACCACGCGCCTCCTCGTCAAGCGGCCTCACCAGTACGGGCTGCAAGTTGGCATCGTTTGGTGTCTCTTGGAAGCGAGGGTGGTCAAAAGCGAGGTAGGTTTGTTTCCCCCCGATATGCCAAGGCTTATGTTCATGCTCATGTTTATGCCGTATTGTTGTGTCCGCCGCGTCTGCTCCTACTACGAAAAGGTTTGTTCCTCCCGTTCGGGGACATCGGCCTGCGCCTGGGCCTCGGGCCAGGCTCGGAGCCTCGGGCAGCCTCCCGTCCTCGCTGTGCCCGGCCAGTTGCTGGGTGTGGCTGCTCCCGTCGCTTGGCGAGTCGACGGCAAGTCGCTCTTCGAGATCCGGAAAGGGACACATTTTTTGGGAAACTGGAAAATCTACATGGAGTTGTTTCCAGGAAAATGCGTCGGTGTATAGAGTTCGTTTCCCTGCAGGTTGCGGGAAATCGTCATCTTCGGTGTGTACGACGTCCGAGAGGACCCCGTCAGTGATAACTGCCTCTCATGTGTCTGTGTGTGTTTCTGTTCCTCTGAGGGGGCCACCCTGGTTCCTCCTGGGCCCTTTTGTCTTTCTTCAGAGACCCCCACGAAGCTTTCTCCTCCTCCTCCTCGTCCTCCTCCTTCTCCTCCTCCTCCTCCTTCTCCTCTTGTCTCTCTTCAGAGGGTGGGGGGGCGCAGCGGCAGCAGAGAGGAGGAGAGCGAGGCGAGGCGTTGGACAGGAGGAGAGGGGGGAGGAGCCGCAGCGGCAGGTGCAGGGAAGCGGACGTCGCGCGGAGTTGGGCGGAGTGGGAAGAGGAGGACGACGTCGACGAGCAGGTGCGACAGTTAACTCGGGCTTGTCCCTCTACAGGGGGAATATTCAAAAATACTGGAAACATACTCTGGGGACGGTTTCATGCGCATTTTTGAAATTATGTTGGAGCATTTTTTTGGGTACCTTTAATTTTTCGTCCAGAATACGCCTGTAGGGGGACACGCCCGACCTAATGCAACAACCCAGACGCGATCGCGTCGTATCAACAAGCAGGACGGCAGGTTTTGGGCCGTTTTTGGCCTCGGGAGGCCCTCGCCGGGCCTCGGGGCCGTCAAAGCGCGGCTCAGGACGAGCAACTGGCCCCCGGGGAGAGGGTCGGGCTTTCCAGGGACCCCGTATGGAAAAGATCAGGACGTCGCTCGTCTGGAAGCGGATGCGGGGCGGGGAGAGGAGAGGGGCAGGAGAAGGGGCAGGAGAGGAGCCCGGAGCAAGAGGTCGGGGTGGCTGCAGGCAGCAGCTTCATGAAGCGCCACAAGACCACCGTCTTCAAGCCGTTCAAGATCCAGCAGGACATGGTGGACGCGATACTGTCCCCAGGACAGGCTGATCCTCCCCACCTTGTCATGCTTAATGTTCCACGTGGCTCGGTCCACAGCACGCTCACCGCGTCGGCGTACCTTGAAGTTCCATGTCGATGCTACATGTCCTCAGAGCGGGTCTGCGTGACCGTCGCCGCGCTGACAGCGTGGAAGCGACAGGTTTGGCATCGTTCAGAGCAGCACGGGAGCAACACCTGGCCGCCATGGAGGACAGGGGTCGTGGAGCCAAGGGGCCCTCGAGTTTTCACGGTGCTCGGACTCTGGGGGGCCCGCCCGCGCCCGCACCCCGGGGGCCAGATGAAGAGCTGGCCCTCTTCACGCCTCATGGCTCACCCCCTTCGTGCCCAAGGGGACCCCTTTCTCTGACCTTCCAGGAGGGCTGACAAAATAGCACCAGGACCTCGATGTCTTAATTCCTGTCGAGGTTTTGGGCAGCCCCGGTAGGTGTATAGGTCTGGAGGGCTAGTTCTTCGCACTCTGGAAGGTCAGGGTTTTGTTCTCCACGTCACCTTGTGCTGCGCGCGCTCTGGAAGCGCAGGCTTCCTGGCGCGCGGCGGGCTGCGAGCGCGGCGGTGGCCGCCGGAGGCCACGACCCGCGCCGGACCGCCCGCGCAGGGTGGCCTTATGCCATGCACGCAGGGCACGTCTCGAATCCGATCGATGCAGGTCGTGCCCGATTTGGCGATGTCTGGCGGTCCGTTGCAAAGAGGATGAGGAGGAGGAGGAGGAGGAGGATCGAGGAGGAGGATCGAGAAGGAGGAGGAGGAGGAGGAGGAGGAGGAGGATCGAGGAGGAGGAGGAGGATCGAGGAGGAGGAGGAGGATCGAGGAGGAGGAGGAGGATCGAGGAGGAGGAGGAGGAGGAGGAGGCGGCCCGGCGCCCGTGTGGCGTTGTCGGCGTGCGTCCTGGCGCAGCGGGGCCGACTCGATGCGGGCTCCGTGCCGCTGCGGCCCGAGTCGGTGCCCGCTCTCCTGGCCGATGCGGCTTCCCGGTTCGATGCCGGCTGGCAGCCTGCAGCACGAAGCGCCACCGCATTCCCCCCGAGCCTCCGCGGTCTACCAGCGCCAGCGCGCGCTTGTTGCGGAGTTGTCGCGGTTCACCGAGCAGGCTGTCGTCGAGCATTGCCAGGTCGCCGTTTTTGTTCGTTTCGCCGATCGGCGCGAGCCCCTGGCCCCTACCCTCTCCCCCCCCTCTTGGCTGCTTTTGGCGAATGGTGAGGACCCCTCCCCCTAATCTTCTTGCGCGACTGGTAGAAGCAGGTCGACCAAGCACCGGTCCAGATCCAGACCCCCCCTCCTTAACCCCTTTTAGTCAAACGTCGTAGACTAGAACAAAAAATCGACTACCAGTGGTGGTCTCCTGTACAGCACGAGCCCCAGGCAACGTGGCTTCCGAGCGTGAACTTGAATTGGCCGCTCTGTTCCATCTCCGCCCGTCTTGCTACGATATTGTCTTCTACTCAGTCTGAATCCGTGACGTCCGTTGCGGGGGGGTCATGCCCTCCCCACCCACCCCGGAACGGTAGTGAACGTACGGGGAGGGGATCCAGGGTCCCAGCCACCCCACAGTTAGGGCGCCGTGCTCACGGGCATGGCGTGGTGCTGACAGGTACCGGAGGGCCTCCAGACTCTGAGACGCCTTCAAAGGCGGCCGTCGTCGTCGCCGTCGCCGTTGTCGTCGTCGTCGTCGTCGTCACCCTTGACGTCGTCGTCGTCGTCGTGGTCGTCGTCGTCATCGTCGCCATCGTCTTCGTCGTCGTCGGCGTCGTCGTTATCCTCGTTCTCGTCGTCGTCCTCGCCCTTGCCCTCGTCCTCGTCGTCGTCGTCGTTGTTGTTTCCGAGGGCCTCGCAAGCCCTTCAGACGCCTCCAGAGGCCTCCAGAAACCTCCTGAGGCCTCTGGAGACCTCCTGGAGACTTTTACAGGCAGCCATCGTCGTCCTTGGCGTCGGCGTCGTCGTTATCTTCGTCGACGTCGTTTTGTGGTCGTCGTTTAGCGTCCTCGTCGTCGTCGTCGTCGTCCTCGTCCTTGCTCTCGTCCTCGTCGTGGTCGTCGTCTTCTCCGCCCTCCTCGTCCTTGTCGTCGGTTTCGTGGTCGTTATCGTCGTCATCGTCCTCGTCGTCGTCGTCGTCCTTGCTCTCGTTGTCTTCGTTGTCGTAGTCGTTATCGTCCTCGGCCCTGGTCCCCGTCGTCGTCCTCGTCGCGGTTGACGTCGCCGTTGCCGTCGGCGTCGTCGAGGGCGTCGTCGTTGTCGTCTTCGTCTTCGTCGTCCTCGTCGTCGTCGTCGCCGAGGGCCACGAATGGCCTCTGGACGCCCCCAGAAGTCTCCACAGACCTCCTTGGGCCTCCGGAGACCTCCAGAGACCAGAGGCGGCCGTCATCCTCGTCATCTCCCTCGTCCTCGTCGACGTCGTCGTCGTCGTTATCGTCGTTATCGCCATCGTCCTCGTCCTCGTCGTCGTCATCCTCGTCCTCGTCCTCGTCCTCGTCGCGTCCTTGTAGTCGTCGGCCTCGTCCTCGTCGTCATCGTCCTCTTCGTCGTCGTCGTCGCCGACGGCCTTGAAGGGCCTTCAGACGCCTTCAGTGTTCGCCCGAGACCTCCTCAGGCCGTATGAGACCTCCGGAGACCTTCAGAGGCAGCCGTCGTCGTCCTCGTCGTCGTCGTCGTCATCGTGCTTGTCGTCGGCGTCCCCGTCTCCGTCCTCGTTCTCGTCCTCATCCTCGTTTTCGTCGTTATCGTAGTCGTCGTTGTCGTCGTCGTCGTTGTCTTCGTCGTCGTCGTGGTCGTTGTCGTTGTCGTTGTCGGCGTCGTCGTCCGTCTCCAAGGCATCCCCCCGCGGGGCCCGACCACGTTACTGTTACCCCCCCACGGGGGCCTAATTCCTCCCCGTAACGGAGATTACGGGGGGGAATAAAACTACATTCTTTAGACACTTCTGAATGAGGCGGTTCATCGGTATTGCATCATCCTTGTGTGCGTGGGTGAAGTGGGATCCCTTCCCGCGGATTCTGCTTGTTTGTTGTTTGTTGTTTGTTGTTTGTTGTCCTCGCCCCCCCCGCGACCCAACCGCGACCCACCCCGCGACCAACCCCGCAACCCACCCCGCGACCTACCTGCGACTCACTCGTGACCCACCCGCGGCCCACCCCGCGCCCGTCCCCTCACTCTTGTCCGTGGTGCTACGTCAGAGTGAGGGTCCCGAACGGTCATTCACTGTCCCTGGGCGCGTGGCTGAAGTGAGGTTCAGCGGGCCGGATTGTTGTTGTTGTTGTTGTTGTTGGTGGTGGTGGTGGTGTTGTTTGTGTTGTTGTTATTGTCGTTGTTGTTGTTTTTGTCGCTGTTATTGTGCTTGTGATTGTTGTTGTTGTCGTTATTGTTGTTGTTCTTGTTGTTGAGTTCTCCTCACTGGTGAAGAATTATTGTGGGTCTCCCACCTTCCGGTGACGTTTGCGTTGTTTTAATTGAAGTGTTGCCCCCCGGGTTCGCACCTTGTTTTTATATTTTAGGGTTCTGCCTTTCTGGTTCTACCACTTGTTTTCTGCTCCTTGCCCCCCTCCTGCTAATTTCTCTCGTGCTGCATCCTTCTCTCTCCCCCTTCCACCCGTCCTCTCTTCCCTTGTTTTAGGGGCTGCACTAAATGCACGTGGCAGGTAGGAACACACACCGCCAAGGGGGTCGATCGAAGAACGAAGAGGGCAGGTACCGAGGGTTTCGGATCTATGTATTGGATGGCACGTGCGCAGGTAACAGCGAACGGTCTTAAAATTATGGTTATTGGATCCCCATTGCTGAAGAATGATTAGTGTTGATTCCCCCCTCGGGGCCACATTGTGCGTTTTTCAATTAAAGTGCTTCTCCCGGGTCTCACACCTTGTTGTTCACAAGGGAAAGTCTCGAGTATCAGCATTGTGTTGTTGGCCACCAGTTTACAACAACAACAACAACAACAACGGCTCCCGTCTGACAGCTCCTTACAAGCCATTGTTCCCAAATCGCGCTCTCGCGCGGGACTTCCTCACGATGTATGCAGGAATCGAGCTTTTGCGGTGGACTTCCTCGCAATGTATCCAGACGCCGCGCCCTCGACCCTCAGGAATCACGCTCTCGCTGTGGATGTCCTCACGATTTGTTTGGGAAACGCGCTGTCGCTAGAGACCTCCTCGTGATTGATGCAGGACGCATGCTTCGGCAACCCGCCTGCTCGACCTGGCCGCCTGGGCCCGCCTTCCCGACTGTCAGGGTCTACCTGCCCGATCTGCCCGTCTGCTTCTGCCACGTGCTTTCTTCTGCTAGCCCCTCTCCTGCCACTCTCTCGTGCTCCATCCTCTTTCCTTCCCCCTGTCCCTTCCTTCCATCTGTCTCTCTTCCCTTGCCTTCGGGGCTGCACGAAGTACACGTTGCAGGTCAGAAAGATGTACCCCCTGAGGGGGCACGATCGTAGACGAAGAGGGCAGGTCTCGCCGGCCCGCGTGCGGCTTTTGCACACAGGAGCACGTGGATAACAGTAAGGGAGCCGGGACCTGACGTATATTCGGGAACACACATAGATTTACACAAGCGTATGACAGAGGCGTCGCGCGTTGCTCCCCCCCGGGCAACAACAGCAACGTTTGGCCCAGGAGGGTGCGCTCGCCCGCCCTGTGGGCGAGGACGCCACCACGGGACCGGCTGGCTTGGCCAGAGGGGTTGTCCTTGCATTGTTGTTGTTATTGGTGTTGTTGCTGCTGAGTGCTCGAGCAGATAAGAGCGAGCAGTATTAAAATGAATGTTGGTGGTGTTTCGGCTGTTGCTGTTGTTGCATTGTCATTTCTGAAGAATTATTGTTGATCCCACCCCACCGATGCATTTTGTTTTTCTCTATCAAAATGTGCCCCTCGACGCTCGCACCCTGCTTTTCGACAGGGAAAGTCTTCCTGCTCAAACTGGGCCCTTGGCCCCCGGGTTACGACGACAACGGCTCCCGCCTGAGACTTCCTTACAATTTAGCCAGGACCCCCGCTCCCGCCCGAGATTTCCTCGCATGTTATTCAGGAATCGCGCTCTCGCCTGGGACTTCCTGACAATTTATTCAGGAATCGCTCTCCTGGCGCTCTGGAGTCGCGCTCTCGCTGGAGACTTGCTTGCAACTTATTGAAGAATGGCCTTGCGTTGGAATTTTGTGCAATTTCCCCAAGCTCCGCGCTCCCGACACCCAGGCACCCAGGAATCGCGCCCGTTGTGGCCCCATGTGCATGCCCTTCGTGGCCCCGCTGTCGCAATTTGTGTCCCCCTCATTGTCCTACGTGGCCCAGTTGCTACCCTCAGTGGCCCCATAGTTGCCATTTGTGGCCCCGCATTATCTACACTTCGTGGCCCCCGCTCGTTCGCGCTCTTCGTGGCCCCATACGCATTCCCATCGTGTCCCCGCTGTCGCCCTTCGTGGCCTACTTCGTGCCCTTCGTGGCCCTGCTGTCGTTCTCTCTCGCTCTCGCTTTCGCTCGTCGTCGCCGTCGTCGTCGTCGTTGTCGTCGCCGTCGTCTTCGACGTCATCGTCGTCGTCGTCGTCGTCGTCGTCGTCGTCCCTCTTGGGGTCGGGTCGACGGTCCGCGGCCGCCCCGCCGATCAGCGCTGCCGCTGGCCAGGCCGACTGTCC